ATTTCAATTAATCCCATATGTTCTGTTATTTCGTTTACACGTTTCTCGTTTTACGCGGACCTCTACGGGTTCAATTGACCGCGTAAATGGAGACTATACTGTATATGTAAAATGTATAATTAAGTGAAAGAAAATTAAAAAGTTAAGAATGTGTCCATGAAATAAAAATGCAAGATTAAATAAGTGAAATATAAAATTTAATTTTCAAAGTGAAACGTAAGAAAGTCCATCAGATTTAAGGATACGATACTGCATCTACTTCTCAATCAGTGAACAGTGTAGTGTTTAATTTTACTTTACTATACAGTACTGTACTTGTTTTACTGTACAGTGAGTTCTGCTATAACGCGTGTTTTGATAACGCGAATTTGCTCTAACGCAATTTATGAATCAGGAACGATATTTGTATAACGCGAATGCTTGTTTGCTATAACGCGATTTTTGCTTACTATTTCTCCAATTTTGTGGTACGGTGGGTATGCTATAACAAATCTAATTGGCTCTAGAACCTTGTTCGTTATAGCATTCGTTTGTTATAGGATTAATCCGTTCCAGGCCCCCAAATACAACCACTTAACACTGAAAAATATATAAAATTGTAAAAATTGTAAAAAAGTGCATAAATATGCATCTAAACCCCTGAAATAAAGAATATCATTAATATTTGTAATAATAAAACAATAAATTAGAAAAAAAAATAAAAATTAAATTATGTTCGTTGTAGGAGTTTCGTTCGTTATAGCATTCTCAATTTTATAGGTAAAACTGTTCGTTATAGGAATATTCGTAGTAGGATCCGTTCATTATAGCATACCTCACTGTATTAACTGTGAATATAGTAAAGAAGAATATCAACAAGAAGCGTTCTGGTGATAGAATTCCCGGTGATGATCGTAAAAGAAAGGATATAACACTTGAAGAGAAGCTCGATTTTATCAACCTCAAAATCACCCTTCTCCCCCATCAAGTAAAGTGTTTCATTTACTGTGCTATCCTTTGTGTTAGGCTAACAACTAAATTTTTTCGATTTCGAGTAATCTGCACCCAACCCTATTTTCTCCATAAGCCCTGTTATTTCTATTACGCGATTTTCTATAACACGATATTTTACAAGAACACAATTATTGCGTAATAGCAGAACTACCTGTATGTATATTATACCTGTATTTTTTTACTATAATATATTAGCAATTGTAGACATTATGTTATTTTATTAGTCTTCTTAACCTCTGTGTTTCATTAGTTGTGTACATTATTTAGTGAATTTAGTCAATATTGTACAGTACAAGTACACTGCAATATTCCACATCCACGTAAGTATAAATACAAAGTTTACAATGTGATGTTCGGACAACATCCAATTCGGTTAACGTCATGTTTCCAAGAACGTATCTAGGACGTTAAGCGACGCATGACTGTAATTGCATTATGGTTTCATAGAGTAAATAAACTGTAGGGGTTTCCCTCTGGAAAACAAGGTTAATTTTTGTAAATGTAAGCAAAATAAAGTTTAAATTGTTGAAATAAAGAATAATCAATGGGTCACTCATGTCTTTAACAATTAAGCCCACTGACCTCAATCTCACGACAGAGCAAATTGGCGCTCATTTCATTGTGACATCGAGTCATGGACTCTCTACATAATCCACATTTCACTCAAATGACAAATGACAATAGCTATATCCTTACTATAATTAGGCCAATATATAAATACACCTCAGTATACTGTATTTTGGTACACAAATTATTATGGGTTATTGTCATATTTTATATCTTTGCATATGTGTGTGGAATTGGTTCCACAGTGACGTGGAACTAGGTCCAACAGGTTCACATCCATACGCTATGCGTGATTGTTTTTCACACTAGTAGACAATATTCCACGAAACGGCAACACTGTGCCTAATCCTGTCTCCACCACCACACACACCACCTATGTGAGTGTTGCCATGTCATATGTTTTGCTGTTTAAACAAAAATTGTATAATAGGTTGTATTATAATTCTAATACCTGTACCCTGTATATATAATAGAAAATGGGAATTTGAGGATGAGGCACTCAGGATCAGACATACTGTACTGTACTGTATTTGAATTTTCTTTTTTTCAATGTACTTAGATATTATCTTTCATCGGTGATATTTTTAAGAGAAAATGGAGAGGTTTTAGGGCACACGATTTTTTTTTTTCAAATATTTTTTTTTTTTTTTCTGGTGGACATACTCCTTAAACATAGTTTTAGCTTGTCCCTGTCATACACCACAGCAACAACTTTCCCATATTTCAAGATAGCCATACGAATATGGGTGAGGCAACCTTCTCACCTGAGCTGGCATAGCTTTTTGTTCTTACCTCGTCAGCTTTCCTTTGGCATTTTTTACATTGTAAATGGTCAACATGCCTGCACCATTTTCTTCCATAAACAATTTCACAGGCACACGCTTTTCCAGTTTGTTAAAAATGTCTAATTTTTCTTTTATGGACAGTCTTTTCACTGTACCTCTTCTCAACCCCTTGGAGCCACAGGGTTTTTCTGTAGCTTTCGGTAGTGTACAGATGCAGTGTAACACGAAAGCAACAGTATGCAAACACTGTCCACTCTGCTATCCACAGTATCATATTATGTACAATACTGTACTCTCACTTACTGAATGTAAATTACAGCACAGGTATCCCTTGTTTAACATTCATTCACTTAGCGATACTTCCGCTTAACAATAAAAAAATTTTAACAGCCGTTCTTGTTTAACAATTAGTCAAAATTTGGTTTAGCAATGTTCAACTCACTGGGAAAAACTGGGGATTCTCTGCTCCAAGATTACATTATCACTGTACAATACTGTACTGTACTCTGATGTGGCTTAGAAATAAAGAAAATATAAAATAAAATTACAAAATAAGAAAAATGAAGAGGATGCATGTGTATGTGTGTGTGTGGGAAGTGTATATGGAATTGAGGCAGTGAGCTGTAACTACAGCCGGCCCCACACTCCCTCCCCTCTATGTGACGTTACAGCAGTCACACGTGTTTCTTGAGTCAGCTGGGTGACTGCCCAGCTGAACTGTGTCACATGTAACTGCACTGTACCAGTAAATACTGCATTGCCATTTGGTAATAATTTCACTGCACATAGGACACAGGAGACAGAGAACAGCTGAGATCCCCAACTCCTCACCCCCTTCCCAGATCTGTGTGCTAACTCCTGTATACAAAGAAATGTTTCTTCACTTTATGTTTTTGAACTTATGCTTTTTATTGCAGTGTGTGCATGTAACAGTTAAAAAAATAAGAAAATTATGTATATCAGCCTGAAATTACGAGTTGAACAATATCATAACTCACAACTCACAATCACTCACTCTGAGTACTACTGGGTGGCACAGACAGTGCAGTGCCTCCACGAGCCCATGCTTATGATCACTTGCCAAACATACACACCCATACTCATAATTTTTCTTATTTTATAGTTTTATATTATATTTTCTTTATTTCTAAGCTACATTAGAGTATTGTAATGATTATTGCACAACTTTTATAGTTTCATTACATGTTCATTGAGACTTTTAAAATTTACCAAAAAATGCACAAAACCTGTTACTAATTTCAGTAAAAATTTCTAATGCCATTTATTTTGGGAATCAATTATTTTTACCCCTACAAATTTTAAGGAATTAATTAACCACCTTTTCAGGTATGATTCTTCAAAACTAAAAATTGTAAAAAATCTAAAATTTCAAACCATTCAACTTTTAAAAGTGTAGAGCAAGGGTTATGTTCCACTACACTGCTTTCATTAAGTGAATTTTGTTCATGAAAACCATTTTTCCCATATAAATTAATGTAATAAGGGGGATGCATTCCTGTACTAAGCTCTGACATAATAATTGCAACACATCAAAATAATGCAGGTAAAAACAATAAAACGTCAACTGATCAGCTGACGGGCTAGTCTGCCAACTCGGTAATCTGTTCTACGTTTACATTCATTTCCAGTAGAGTAAATATCAATAAAGTTGTGCTCTTTAATATTTTTGCATGTTTTATATTAAAATTATTTGTCATTTTAACATTTATTTAACATATTGATAATATATGCATTACAGGGAACTAGTTTTTGTGTGCCCATCAAATGCTTGGGTCACCCACAAGGCGTCAGTTGGGCTTTGAAAACAGTGGAGTGAACATCTATTTTGTTGATGTCTTGAATATTTATGCATTTTTATTTAAATTATTGGTCATTCTGTACTTTAGTTAACATATTGATAATATATAGTGCAGTGTTGATTTAAATAAAATAATCTTGAATTACACCTAGTGAACTTAAAATTTGATTGGTGAAATGACAGCATCAAGCATGGGTCCCTTGAAAGGTGATTTCTCCTCCATCCCCACTTCCTTCTCTTCTCCTTTCTCCTCCACCCCCCACTTCTAATTCTCATCATCATCATCAACAACCAGGAACCCTCTACATACACACCTCAAAGTAAGTGTACTTTACTGCATTTTTTTTTTTTTTACTTTGTATGTACTTTTCAGTGAGCTGAAACCAATTACCCAATATCCCATTGAAACAATGGATTCGGTTAACAAAATTTTTGGTTAACGAACAACCTTCTGGAACAAATTGTTTGTTAACCGAGGGACCACTGTACAGTATATGAAAAATTCATTGACCATCTTTCAAGAATTACAACAAATATTTTTTCTTGTTCATCTCTATCAATTAAATTATTAAACAAAAATTACCCCAAAGCACAAAAATGATGCAGACCAATATTCCCTAAACATGTACAGTACAGTATACACAGGGCAACAATGGTCTTTCAGCCCTGAAAATCTATATTTTTTTCTTAATTTCTTTAAATGGGTACCAGCACTACTGTACAGTAAGTACTGTACTAGTATTACTGCCACAAAAATTTAATCCTTTACTTATGAATACTTTATTTAGAAATTACTAAAAAGTTTAAGTACAGTAATATGAAATAAAACTTTGGTCTCATTTTTCAAAAATTTTATTTCAGTATATTTAAAATATATCTCATATTTTTTTACTATATATTTTTTTCATTCATTAAACCTATCTTGGCACTTTTACAGATTTCTCTAATGCTACTGGAAGGGGGCAAAACCCTTGGATAAAACAACGTGTATTTTACCACAGAATTGTTGGCTATGGTTATCAATAATCTAAACATTCTTTTTCTTAGAGGTCCTGTAGATAACAATACAATACTAAATGCTTCTGTACACTAGAGAGTATGTATAAATTGTATGTAGCCAGACTGGCCTTGATCACAAATGGGCTACAGTCACTGAGCTTTATCTCTTATTGGTCTTACACAGACTTGAACTTCACAATGCTCTTTGAAGACTTTTTTCAAGTTTGTTATCTCTGTTATCTCTGTTGCACTTAGGTACAGTATTTTATTCTGGTTAATGCCAGATGATTTTATTCAGCTGAGACAAACCCCTGCCCCTGTAAAGGTTAATTTCCCACATCATTTACTTTACAATTTTCCCATCTTTGTTTCTGTTTTATTTCATAAGGATCACCTGCATATTTTTTCACAGGTTAACTTTATGACTGCTGCCCTAAGACATTAGCCGGATGTACAAGATTTATATTACATATGCACTAAGAGTGGTGTGAGGAGTTTTTAACAACCATTTTATCCATTCCCTTACTGTGGATGCAGGAAAATTCATGTGATACCAAATGATGATTAAAGAGAACAAATGCTAATAACTTGATGTATTAACAAATGTGCTAAGGTTAAGAATTGTGACATCAATCCAAAGTACAAAAAGATCTGAACAGTAACATAAGATCAAGCATGTCATTCAAAATGGTTAACTCAAGAGCCACACAAAAACCCAAAAGTTAACTGACAGCTATTCACAAACAGCCAGGGAAAGAATATATCTGATATATATTAATTCTACAACCATTACCACTCAAGATGCACAGGATACTTCCCATCAAGGCACGCTGTACAGTGGCCTGACGGTGTACCAGTTTTACTTATGACTCCATTCTTCACTGCTGTCACAAGGCCCTCAATACTTAGGTATGCCAAGCTGTTTGCTCCTGAAAATACAAAGATCAATTGTATCATTATTTAATATCAGAAGAGAAATATCACAATATATTCTTCATCATTAGACAAACTCAGACTTTACAGTTCCTTGATATAACTACAGCCTCAGTTTCTCTCCTATGGACTGCCAGCTACAACTTTTCATTGGTTATGATAAATGTCAGCTTGCAAGCAATTTAAGTGTTTTCTTTTTCAACACAAGTACTGTATTGCTAATTATATTTACATGGGATATAAATTCATAATTACTGTATTACAGGAAGCATTCAAAAATGAAAAAAACATATACAGTTGGTACCCAATTTCCAAACAGTACTAGATCTTACCAATAAAACTTGCAAGTTCATCTGGATGCTTCTTATTGGCAATGAGTTCTCCTCGAGTTGGAATGTTAATGCCCATGTAGCACGGATGGTGGATGGGAGGTGACGCAATACGTATATGGACCTGATGATTAAGGTATCATTAATAGGGTTCACCAAAAAATATATATATAAATTGGATAATACTGTACTAGTTTATTTCTCAATTGCAGGCAAATTACTGGAAGCAATAATTTAAAACTCGATTCAAAATCACCTGGAGAAGCACAAGTTGATCAATGATTCCCAACATTGCTTCACAAGCGGGTGTTCATGTCTAACTAATCTATTAACATTCTTTCCAGCTGTTTTTGAATCAGTGGACGAAGGGCATGACTATGATGTGGTATATTGTAACTTTAGCAAAGCCTTCAACAGAGTTCCCCACGAAAGACTAATAAGAAAAGTGGAGGCTCATGGCATTGGAGATATTCTAAAATGGATTAGTGCGTGGTTACAGGACAGAAAACAGCGAGTGAGCATTAACGGCACTAAATCCGATTGGAGTAACGTCACAAGGCTCAGTACTTGGACAATTATTATTCATTATATACATAAACGACATAGATATCGGCATAGACAGCAACATAAGTAAATTTGCTGATGACACTAAAATAGGGTGTGTAATTAAATCTGACGAGGACTCCACAAAACTACAGGAAGATCTAAAAAAAAAATTTTGAATGGTCTGAAAAATGGTGGATGAAATTCAATATAGTACTTAGTCTAGGAGATGTAAACAGAGAAACCAGATATCAAATGAACAATGATGTTATAGAGAAGTCCGAATGTGAGAAAGATTTAGAAGTAATGATAAGTAGGAATCTTAAGCCAAGTAAACAATGCGTATTTGCTCGAAACAAGGCTAATAAAGTACTTGGGTTCATACAAAGGAGTGCTAGTTACAAAACTACAGATGTCATCCTGAAATTATATCTTGCGCTTGTGAGACCTCACTTGGATTACGCAGTTCAATTCTAGTCACCGTATTACAAAATGGATATAGAATCCCAAGAAGAAATTCAGAGGAGAATGACAAGACTAATCCCAGGCATTAGGAACCTCAAGTACAGAGAAAGGTTAAAGCATCTTAATTTTCACTCCCTCGAGAGATGTAGAGTGAGGGGCGATATGATAGAGGTGTATAAATGGAAGTTAGGGCTAAACAAAGGGGACATAACAAAAGTACGTACTCAAACTATCCAACCAGGAGCGAACTCATAACAATGGTTTTATTTTAGATAAATTTAGATTTAGGCACAAAAAAGGTAAACATTGGTTTGGAAATAGAGTAGTAGATGAATGGAACAAGTTACCAAACATCATTGTTGACTCGAATACGATGGATAGCTTCAAACATAGGTTGGATGGATATATGAGCAATAGGGGTTGGGTGTAAATGGGACTGCCCAGTATGGGCCAATAAGCCCACTGCAGTTTCCTCCATTCTTATGTTCTTATGTACTATATAAAATGTTAACCAGCAAATGGTAATACATGTACAGTATCTCAATATCTCCATTAGCTGAAACCTTTGATCCCCAGAACTTTCCAGCACCCAGAAGAAAAACAATTTGAATATTCTGAGAAATTCCAAGAAAATCTCTCTGTTCTGAGTGTTCAAATGAATATCCGAACGATTACATCATGTACCCACATGTGCCGAGCATGCGGGTGGGTAGGCTCAAGAGTGCTCGTGCGCTACGATTGGCTACTACTGTTATGTGACTGCATGGGATGCCGATGATTGGCTGATGTATCTTTCAGCCTATCTCCTCCAACTCTAGCATCATGACACTCTTAGTTCATTGTCTGCTACCACTGTACAGCTTGTTCGCTCGCTCACTGCTGTTTTTGCATACAATCAGTGTTGTGCAGTACTGTACATTACTCGACCAGCACATAGTCAGCCAAGAATACCATTATAGCAGTGTTATGACAAAAATATAATACAGTTACTTCTACTGTACTGTACACTCATTAAGTGCAAAAGGACCATATGTACAGTACTGTATATAGCAGAGTGGGCAGTATATGACTACTGTATGCTAGTGTGTAGAGGGTTATGTACAGTAAACAATGTTTGTACAGTCCCCCCCAAAAGTATTGCTAGAATTTTCGTCGTTAAATTTTGAAACTCTAGATGAAATGCTTTGATACGATCCCCAGTGCATCATCATAAGTTGGTACACCTGCATGCCATATCAGCAAAAGCTAGAGATGGGGAGTAGGATTGAGGGAGGGGGTTGTCCTTGTACAGTATGTGTCATGGGCACATTTGCATGGCTAGTATATTAATATCCACACTTACTCATATTATGCTCTGCCGTTCACAAAACATGTGTAAACTAATGAGTTGCTCCCTTTAAAGAAACTTGTTTTCTCTAGTGAGTCCGTCCATTTTCTCTATCTCCTGAAGTGCTCTCTATAACGCAGATTTAAATTTACAATGTAACCTGTATGGGTGAGTAGCCATAAGTCAGATATACCTACTATGAGCTGAACCATTTAAGATGTATTGAGTATATGCTGAAGACTTCATCAATATTTGTGTGTAGAGTAAATTGTATAAACACAAATGTGTATTAACTACAAAGCAAACAGCTGAGATCATTGTTTGCTTTTCATGAAGTTACGAGATATCAATGATTTGGTATAGAGAGAAGACCTTAATTAATTGTTTGGAGAAGGTCAGGTATTTTTGTGTGGTGCAGTGACCTTAATAATTGCTTGGTGTAGGTCAGCTATTTTCGTATTGTGACGGAATGTAATATTTTTATATTAAGGAATAAATTAGATAAATTCTTGGTAGGTGCTTCAACCTTCCTTCCACTCTCAACTTGATTAATGAAAAACACGAACTGACAGTGCCTGGATTGCTCTGACAGCTACCTCAAAAACACTACACATACTGTCCTTTGGTCTGGTGGCAGCAATCTTAAGCTAAGATGTAAGTTAAGTACTCCGAGAATTAAGTGATCACACTAAAGGGCAGTATAAGGCAGCAGAAGGAATAAATAAAGTAAGTAAGAAACTGAAAGAAATAATTACTTTGAGAAGTTGAATTAGAAAATAAAAATTTGAACCCAGTAGAAAGAAAATACAGTAATAATAAAAAATAAATAATAAACCTCGCCCTTATATATGACATAATGGATACTTCAATACAACAAGAAATCCATTAACCTACTGTATATTAATGTATGTCTTGTGATGGGTAGAAGCAAGGCATATGTAAACAAGCCATTGACTGATCATTACAATACCACTGAAATAAACATTAAATAGAAATATTTCGGAACATCATAACCGAGAATGAGACAGACCTCAAAACGGACATTTCACCATTACGTCGTTGTAGTAACAGAGTTTCATTCTTACAGTACCGAGTTTCACAATATGCTTACTCACGTTGTTTACGATATGTCTGATTTATGAAGAGTGACTATACAAATAGTACTTGATATTAGAGTGAACAGCTACAGCAATACTGTATACAGTATATCTGTGTACATGGGATCTGCCATGTTACTGATATGTAAACTGCATTGGTTTAACATCCAAAAAAGGTTTCAAATCAAGGTCTTGCAGGCCAGAAGCCCCCATCCACCTATAGCAGGGGTCACCAAACTACGGCCTGCGGGCCGGATCCCAAGTCTTCCCCAGCTCGTGGTAGCTCAAAACTACACTCTGACGTTACCAGAGCTTTCATTCTGGCTTGCAAGTATTGAACAGAATGATTATGCGGCCCGCACTTGTCATTCTTTCAGTTATCCGGCCCACTGTGAAAAAAGTTTGGTGACCCCTGACCTATAGTAAGGCATTTGTGGTTGTAAGTTTCAGTGCGGCACCAGTTGTTTCATGGAGCCTAACCCATCGTGATACTGTGGGCTCGCTCACCCCAGTTTGCCTTGTTATCTCAGCATTAGGTAACTTAAGTATACCATCATTGTGAAGAGCAATGATAGCATCTCTCACATATTGCGATGTCTCCCCGATAATTCCTCACTCCATTCGATGTAAGATACTGTTGACGACTGGCATGGCATTGGTATCCATTTATGACATCCACTCTGACTCGTGTAATATAATATGATCTGAAGCCTCGGAGGATTCACATTGTTCAAAACATATACTATATACTCATTCATGCTCAAATCTCACAGATGTAGAACTACCAACTGTTCGTTGAGTAACAATGCTCGGAAACCCTCGAATCACATCAATCCCATGGCTAACAATACTTTTTTGGGGGACTGTACAATCCCTCCTTCATGGAGGATGAGAGGAGAGTGACAGTCAGCAACACCTGCTACAGTAGATGGTACATGACAAAGGCAGGCCATCATGTATCATCATATCACCATTTGGCCTGCCTGCATCACAAGCTCAAGATGACAGTACAGTATCTGCTGTATCTGCTAGTGAGTACAGTGATCCCTCGGTTAACGAGCGCCTCGGTTAACGAGATTTCGGTTAACGAGTTACCTTCCATAAGATTCTTTACTTCGGTTAACGAGTTTCTTACGAACCGACCTTAACAAGTTTTCGCTTGCACTTGGCGGTCAACCAGCTGTAGTATTAGTCCGTCAATACAGTAATCAGTTCTAGGGCTTAAATTCCTTACTATTTTAGTAAATATCAAGAAGTTTATACTATTCAATAATTTTAAAAGTTTAATATTAAATTTTTCAGTCATTTTAACAATTATTGAACATAATTGAAGGTAAAGTGACTAGCTTTATGCGCGCCATCCAGCCTCTCAACACACCATACAGGCATCAGTCTTGTGTCTTTTCAGTGGAGGTAACATCTTGCTTGAGACTCTCTTCAACTAAATGCTTTTTTTCTGTGTTTGCAAGCAAATTATTGGTCTTTTTGAAATTTATTTTACATATTGACAATATATTATGCAGTGCAGTGTTGATTTCAAGAAAATAATCTTGAATTACACCAAGAGAACTAAAATTTTATGGGTGAAATGGTGCCATGGGGTGACTTCTCTTCCACCCCAATGCCTTCTCTTCTCCCTTCTCCTCCACCCCCATTCTAATTCCCATCATCATCATCATCATCATCCAGGAG